CTAAACCCTAAACCCTAGGTTTAGGGTCTAGGGTTTAGGGGTTTAGGGGTTTAGGGTTTAGGGTTTAGGGTTTAGGGTTTCGGCTTTAGGCTTTAGGCTTTGTTTAGGGTTTAGGGTTTAGGGAAGCGCTAAACTCTAAACCCTACACGCTCAACTCCAAACCCTAAACCCTAAATCCACCCCATGCCTCGCCAAAGCGGAAGGCCTCGCTGAGCTGCACCTCCTCGGTTCGGACTTGGTGGTACGGTTTGGAGCTTAGGGTTTAAGTTCTAGGGTTTAGGATTTAAGTTTTAGGGCTTAGGGTTTAAGTGTTAGGGCATAGGGGTGTCGGGAAGGATCCTTTTCTTGTTGAACCCTCTTTTCTCAGCAGGACTCCCCTCTGCGAGGGCCGCAAAACCGACAAGACTAGGCCCCAGTCTTAGTATTTGCTATAAACCCTATAAACCCTAAAACCCTAAACCCTAAACCCCAAACCCCAAACCCTAAACCCTACAACCCTAGACCTAGAACCCTCAAGCCCTAAACCCCAAACCCTCAAACTCCAAAACCCTAAACCCTAAAGCCCTAAACCCTGTCTTGGGAAGCTAGGGCGCTGGAAGGGTCTCGGGTTTGGGTTCCCGGAGATTCGGCTGTTTTAACGTAGGGGGCTTAATAATTAGAATAGGGTTTTGGGGTTCCTTTAAAGGGTTCCTTAAAGGGTTCCATAAGGGCTACTATAAGGGTTTAGGGTTCAGAGGGCCTTAATAATCAGAATAGGGTTTTGCGGTCTCTTATACAATAATCATAATAAGGAACCCGCAAAATAGTATAGGTATTTGCTAAGGCCTCTATAGTTGGGTGCTGGGCTCAGGGCGCAGAAGCGTCAACATGGCCTAATCGGGGTTTAGGGCTTAGGGCTGGGGTTTAGGGTTTAGGAGTTTCTGGAAGGGGGCTTATCCGGACGGATCAGGTTTACGGCTTGAGTTCTTCCGAGGGCCTTCTTTCAGTCGCGCGAACACGACGATTTCGTTTAGGGTTCAGTGTCCTCAGACCATTTTCCCAAAACCCTAAACCCTCAATACCCCAAACTGCCTAAACCTCATTTCTGTCCAAAGCCCTATGACCCTGAAGCCGTAAACTAGGGCACATGCACCCACGTGCCACAGCTCCCGCTCTTGCAGCATGAGTTTCCATCGCAAACAAGAGGGTGTTGTGCAACACGGTTGCCCTGAAAATACTGCTTTCACCCTAAACCCTCAACTCCTACACCCTAATAAACCCTGTTATTATGATTATGATTCTGACTATTATTATTGTTACTATTATTATTATTGTTATTATTATTTTGTTTTATCCCTCCAGCACGCTTTGTCCTTGCTTTGCTGGGTTGCGTTTCTGGGCTGCATGTGTGGGGAACTCGGTGTTTTGCTAATGCAAGCTGTGCTCCTACTCCCTGATGTGTAACACCTCTTCAGTATACGCATATACGTAAGATGAACAAGTTAAATGTGGACGGATCCTGCTTGTCAAGCCGTCACACATCTTCAGTGTAAATAACGCTGCTGCGGCTACTGCTATAGTTGCTGCTGCCGCCGCCTTGAGCTGTCGATCGTTAGCGCAAGGGGCTGACAATGTTCATGTTCATGCAGCACAGACAGCTTGTGCTGCTTGTGCAAAGTACCGGTGTTGCTAATAACAGCACGATTCAAAACCAATGGAGCAATACTGCTACTGGTGCTGCTGCAGCTAAAATAATTTCAGCCTCTAGTGCCTGCGCAGGTTTGGCTTCGTACCGGATCTCTTCGCGACTATGCTGCCTTGCGCATGGCAATGTCATGTTGAAGCAGCCCCTCAGGGTTTCGCCACGTACCAAGACATGGAAGACCAACTGCAGGCTACCATGTTGCATGTTCGGAAAAGGACAGCGATTCGGGGATGCAAGCGGCAAAAAAGGAAAAACACAACATAACGGTGCGTTCTCCGTAAGCGTTGGGCTCTCGTGGAGTTGCCAGGAAGCTCAACCCTAAACCCCCTAAACTGGCACTACACACTAACCCCACGAAACCCCAAACCCTAAACCCCTGAACCCTAAACCCCTAAACCCCTAAACCCCTGAACCCCTAAACCCTAAACCCTAAACCCAAAAAACCTCGCGAGGCCAAGCCGCCAAAGTCCGTAGGTCCAGCCCCAGGCCACCTCGCGCGGCGGCATCCTCGAGGCCTGGGTACTCAAAAGGGCTTAGAGGTTTAGGGTTCCTTTAAAAGGGAGCCAGGGTTTGGGGTTTAGGGGTTTAGGGTTCCTTGAAAGGGATCTAGGGTTCAGGGTCTAAGGGCTTAGAGGTTTAGGGTTCCTTTAAAGGGATCTAGGGTTTAGGGGTTTAGGGGTTTAGGGTTCCTTGAAAGGGATCTAAGGTTTAGGATTGAGGGGTTTAAGGTCCCTTTAAAAGGATCTAGGGTTTAGGGTTTAGGGGTTTAGGCGTTTAGGGTTCCTTTCAAGGGATCTATATGGGTTCTATAAGGGGTCCTCCTCCGCTTCCTCCTCCTGCTCCTGCTACTGCTATACCGCTACCTACTGCTACCACTGCGACTACGCGGATACGTACTGCTGCGGCAGGATCTCCATAAACCCTAAACCCTAAACCCTAAGCCCTACCCCTAAACCCTTGATCTTGCCTTTCCCGGTAGCGGGCTTGCTGCTGAATGTGGAACTCCCCCTTGGAGACGGGGGAGTCCAAGACTAAGGGGGTGTAGGGCATGCAAGCGAAAGCTAGGGTCATCACCAAGAGAAGCGGAAAAATATAAAGCTAGGGAATAAACAACTAGGATAGATAGATAGATAAATAGATAGATAGACAGGTAGGTGGGTAGGCAGGAAGCCCTCCAAACCCCAAACCCTACACCCTACACCCTACACCCTAAACCGTGAACCCCAAAAACCCTAAACCCTAAACCCCTAAACCTTAAACCCTCAACCCTAAAACCCTAAACCCCAAACCCTAAACCTACGACTCCGAGGCCAAGCGGCGTCCCCGCAGCTGGTCCTCCCATGGAAAGAGCTCCTCGGCCTGAGAGCTGGACGCAAAGCTGCCCTGACCTGAGGTGTGTTGGTGTTTCAGGGTTTAGGAGCTTAGTGGCTTTAGGGTTTAGGGTTTAGGGGTCTAGAGTTTAGGGTTTAGGGTTGAGGTTAGGAGTTGGGTTTGGTGGGGTTTAGGCTCTAAGGTTTGTTTTGGGTTTTCGTCTTAAGTGCAACTAGGGGTTTAGGGGCCGGGGTTTAGTAGGGTTTAGGGTCGTGGGGCTGGGTCTGAGTAGGGTTTAGGATTTGGGCGTGGGTTCAGGGTTTAGGGGTTCGGGTTTGGTGAGGGGCTGCTGTGTAGATCTAATGCATGTGTATATATGTATACATAGCAGTCCAGATAATATATAATGCGTACATCTGTATATATATATATATGATGATGATGAATTATGAAAAACTGCGTAATATGCCACATATACGAATGTACAAATGTGTGTGTGTGTGTATGTATGTATGTATGTATGTATGTATGTATGTATGCATGTATGCATGTATGTATGTATGTATGTATGTATGTATGTATGTATGTATGTACGTGTGGATGCACGCATGTATGTATGTTTGTATGTATGTATGTATGTGTCATCTATGTATGTATAATAGGTATGTATGTGTATATATATATATATACATACATACATACATACATACATACATACATACATACATGTATCTTATGTGGTGTTTTTGTATATGGCATGTCGGAAACTAGTTGTTGTATGGGTTGTGTTATGATATCTGGTTCGAACTATATGCTTACACATACATATTTATATAAACTTCACAGCACATATTAATAATTGATACAAGAAATGTATGTGTTTTATATGGTACACTTTTATACTATATATAATATCAGAACACATAATATAATCAAACACTGTATCTGAAAATGTCCAAGACAATCGTTCAAACGCCTTTGGATGCAGGTATAGAAAACTAACGTATTAGAAGTGGGTTTGTTGTCTATGCATGTAGGATGTCAGCTTCTGGGGTCGATATTATCAGATCTCCCCGATCATCTTCTATGACTTGGGCTGGTTCTCAACTAGGTTATACCAACAATGCTCGCGACCGCGATCGTTTTCCCCCGTCTTCGCTCGAGCTCACCAGTCGCCAGCATTCGATTTTCGAACCCAGCGTGCACCAATGTACGCACTATAGCGGTATAAAACCTGAGCCCCTAAATCTCGAGGATGGCAAAGCGTGCCCAACATCTTGATTCTGCCGACCTCGGCTCCAGAGCAAGTATTTTGGATCTCGCAGTACAGCTATAATGGAAATCATTAAGAACAAGCGTCGATATCTTCATCTGCATAGGTTGATGTGCGCAAAGGCGAAGTAACCGGAACTTGTTCATAGACCAAGTGTTCAAGCCTCGCACGCCCCATAAAAATACCAACCCTAAACCCTAAACCCTAAACCCTAAACCCTAAACCCTAAACCCTAAACCCTAAACCCTAAACCCTAAGTTATAAACCCTAAACCATATTTTTTGAAAGCGCTGGCACTGGCTGCGACGATTGGAGGAGCTTGCTGATTGGGAAAGCTTATAATAGATCCGAGACACACATGCATCTTCGGTCGAAGTTTCCATAAGATCTTGTTGCGGTTGAACGCATCCAGGGCACAATCTCGCGCATCAGTAACACGGGGTATAGGGCATAACTACTACAGGTCGGGGATCGAATGATCGATTTCACAGGCTGTCATATGCAGCTTCGGAGCAATTGTAAGCGGATCGATATTGCAGATAATGAAATTGAAGTTGTGTCGCATTCTCATCCGGCACGTGAAAATTATGGCCAGACAGGCACTCTCGCATCCCAGCCAAGTTCACGAAGATAGCTGCCATATTCCTTGGACAAGAGATGAATCCCGACCAAAAGCATATAAACCTCAACCCCGACTATTATGTTATCGATCCCAGCTGCTCCCAATACGGATCAGGAGCCCGGCGGGTCACCAGCTCCGTCGTCACGTATCTCAGCCACTTGACCATAATGATGGATTCCTGCATCGGACCCGGAACGATCCCGATATGTTAAATTAGACCGATGTGCTAGATTGTATACATCATCAAATCAAAACTGAGTTCGCAGCTGCTCCACTCAAATGCTTTTGTGATAGCGTTGGGTACATGAGTGACTTCTGCATAGCCTTCAATGACTTCAAGGAAAACGTAGGCGCACGGTTTCCTGAGCAGCTTATTCCAACAGTCGTCTACTTAGATCGAGCTAATGTAATATAAACCCTAAACCCTAAACCCCAAACGTACTAGGCTCGACAGTATCCAGAGAAGTGGCTGATCCTCTCACGTTTGCAAGCCGATGCGAAATCCGTATAGGCAGCTGCCAATCGAACTTCTTGGCTTGCACCCGCCCAGGGGCTATCTGTAGCTTTGGCCGTCAGCTCTAGTAGTGCCTGCGATTAGGATCGAGGGATAACGATCTGAACCATGTCTATATTGATTGTTGCGATCAAGATTCCGATGCACAGGCATCCGGTGCCAATGCCAAATCTACAACATGTAAATAATCCTCCCAAATTCGTTCCACAGCGAAACCGGGGATTTGCACCCAAGGGTTGGCACCACACTTCTCGCGGATGAAAACCTCTGTGCTGTAAAGCCTGGGATCGCAAATAAAATTGTTTATCGAAAGAATTATTGAAATTTAATCGAGCAGCACAGCAAATGCCAAGTTGCGTCGATCGGTGCTGGGCAGAAGGCCCGAAATGCACATAGCCCATCGGAGAACTGCCATCTTTCGTAGCCTAGTGCCGGGGTCGTGTGACGATACCATAATTATATCATTTAGGTTTCCTATGTAGTCGAGTCACAGCACAAGAGCGGCAAACCTCTTGGGAAGTCCAGTAATTCTCGAACTTGTAACATTTATGAAGATAAACTTGGTCTCCTTTGTGCCCTGCGAAGATAAAACGAAAGTTCCCTGCAATAGTTTCTCCAGCTCTTTGTGCCAACTTGGGCATATAGTCGGCATCAAATTTGCGACCATGCCAATCATGATCAAGATATCTCCCCGCAGCGGCGCAAGCCAATCCCCAGCAAATCCAGCAATCGATTTCACCCGCAGTTGATTCTCCAGCACTGTTGTTGTCGAAGCAGCTCAGCAACAGCTTATGATCCCACGTTGATCCGCCTGTGAGGGCACTTGATACAGTACTAATCGAAAAAGACCTTCTTTTGTGCATCTCGGCATCGTCGCCGTGAATTTCGAGTGGCACCGTCCACATTAGTTCTGTGTCGCTCATCTTGGATAGCATCGGGTGATTTTGGAACCACGTTGTGGTACGATTCTTGGCCCAATATTTTTCAAGGTTCTCGTCTGCATTGCTCCCCAGCAGGACCGATTGAAAAATATTCAGATCATAATCGTACAAACTCTTGAGCCTCGGACACTTCTGAATTTCAAACATGCGAATCCGAGAACAATCGTGGAACTAATATCGAACCAAGGCACCAATCTGGAATGAGGAAGATCGCATGCTTGCCCAAGAAGAAATGTTCGGCTAGCTTGTGGTCCACCTCAAGGCCGCTATCTTAAGTAAGAGGTTGGCGGTGACACCACATAATGCAGCTTGAATGCTTGGTTCACATCAATCCTAAGAGCAATAGTATTTCATGGCTATCCTTTCGTCTCAAGCATATTGTCGTTTGACGACAAGTGTCATTGTGGGGGATGGTAAGCAGGCCATCCACGGTTGCCGACGAAGCCAGCATCTAAAATTTCGTTGAACATTATGTTCGCCTCTCGTAGATTCTGCCAAATCTCGAAAAGACGGCCTAAGTCGGACGAGCAGCAAAGTCGACTGATATTAATTTGCACACTAGAGTCACGGTACAGATAAGCAGCTCGAGAAACAGATCAGGAATGCGTTTGTGAACCGCTGCCACAAAATCTCTGATCGTTTGCACAGACAGCCTTCGTGACAGCTCCAAGAATTCCTCCACCATCCCATAGACATCCTTCGATCCAAGGTTTGATTCTACTGGATGGGAGGATTGGGCCGAGGCAGTCCTGGTCACGATTCTTTGAAACGGGCTTTGAGTACGACATTTGCTCAATCGGTCGGGGCTTTCATGTTTCAGTACAGGGATCGAAGCTTTAGATTACCCTAAACCCTAAACCCTAAACCCCTAGACCCTAAAGCCTAAACCCTAAACCCTAAAACCCTAAACCCTAAACTATAATTAGTGGGACATTGGATTGAAGGGGCGGCGAAGGAAATTGGGATGGTTCAGAATATATTCGTAGGGTTTGGGGCTTAGGGCTCGAAGGGGTAATATTAGGTTTAAGGATTTCGAACATGTTGCCTAGGGTTTCAGGTAATCTACAAAAGTTAACCGAGTGACCTTGCATGTGCAGCAGAGATCTGAGCCCCTAAAGCTTTTCACATGAGCAGCTGGTTAGCATACAGAACATGTGCACAAGCCCGCACAACTGCAACATGCACATATTCTCTCTCACCATCTTTTTAGAGTGGCCACATTCGATATCGCACGATGAAGAAAGGATCTAAGCCTTGACTTTCCCCCATCAAAGCAACCCATCTTCGATAGGAACTGGGCATGTGGCCTGCCTGTGCACATACAGTCAGCGGATCTAGAAATGCTTCAGGCACTGTGCCTTCAGCGAGTTTGCATCTAAATATCATCTCATGCCGAGTCAGCCTTCTTCTTAGAGGGCTTCGCTTCGGTGGCCGTTTTGGCCTTCTTGGGCTTTCTACGGCTTGCTTCTTTAAGATCATCCTCGACTGTCGTGGCCTGTGCCATGTAGTTGTCATAGTGGGGCTTTAGCGCCTCAGCACTCAAATTCTTCTTGAACCAGCCCTCGACCTCGACGATCAGCTCGGGCAGCTTAGACTGAGTGGTTGTCAGCGCCTTGACCTTGGATAGATCTAATTACCTAAACCCTAAACCCTAAACCCTAAACCCTTAAATACTGTACTACTACGACCCAACGGGCTTGAATAGGCTAATAGGCCTTTCTAATTAAGGTTTTAGAATTATAGGGATAAGCTATCCGGTTTATCTGATACCTGAAATCCATCAATTGCGTACATTTCTAGGCTGCCCACATAAGGCCCTAGCTAAGTCTGCACAGTGCTTCGCCGAAGAGAGATCCCGAAGTCGCTCGGTGATCTTCTCATCGAAGCCCTTGAACCTTAGGCAGGGTTTGGTGAGCTAGGGTTTGGGCTTGGGGGCTTTAGGGTGTAGGGTTATAGTGGTTAGGATTAAAGCTAGCCTAGTGGCTTTCTGATGAGTGCACGGTAATCCGAAACCATCTTCTCTTCTGCAGTCATCTCCTTGGGTTCTTTCTTGATCTTGCGTAGCTTGATCTTTCCGGTCTCTCGATCGATGCATTCCGTACCCTCCAGAGCATTCAATGGAGCGGTCAGCTTCTCAGCGATGCTTTTCTTCGCAGCATCATCAGTAACAAGCCCTCCGACGGTGGAACTCGTCTCAGTTCGATTGGATCGCCGGCGTTCGTCGACCAAGAACCGAAGCACCCGATACATACGGGCCTTCTTCACGTGGGGAGCCTGAGGATGAGGGGTGCCTTTTTGTCCTCGGTAAAATGCTGGGTAGAGTACAAACGACACCAAGGCCCTAGATACAATATCAAGCTGAGCTTCCTTTTATGAGTTCATCGATGAACTCCCGTGCATCTTCAGAGTCGCCAAACTCCTTCTCTAGCTGCAGAATTGTCATAGTAACATACTGGTCGGACTCGACATTCTCGGTGATGCGCTTGTACCTTAAGGGTAGAGCACAGAAGCGATCAAAACCTAAGGCATCGTTGAACCTAGGAACGACTCTTCGACACGGATGGCCCCGAGCTTGCCATCATTCACCAACCATTCCTTGAGCATGCCGAACCTCACCCGACAGGCTGCTTCGATGGTCGTTTGGGATGATTGACATTGAGGCTGAATCCAATGCGGTTTTATGGGATCAGGGCTTCAAGGGTTCAGGGTTTTGCTAGCTTGGGGCCATATATAGGCCCGGTTAGAGGATTACTATCTGCAGTGAGCTATTTAATTTCTAAGTACAATATATTACGAATTAAGGGTATTAGCACTTTAGGGATATCTCATGGTTAATTCGGGCTTCGGGGTGCCGGCAGGTAACTTTGCATCATCGTCCGATGCGGACCATTTAGCCACCAAGCCGGGGTTCAGATAGCCTTGAGTCTTCAACTGCCGGCCAAGGGCGGCAAACTGTCGCTTGCGTTCAGCTCGGGGCATTGCCTTAGATAGCACATGTATACATGCATGCATACCGGCATATCATACCGAGCAACGGAAGGACTCGCCATCGACTGAAGTGTGGCTTTCTGCTCGTCGGTAAGTTTGGCAACTCTCCCCTGGTTTGTGGCCTGAGTATAGCACTAGGAGAGAAATTATAGATCGATCATGCTAGTAACTACTATCACTAAGAACCTGACCTTAGGCTTTGTAGCATCTGTTGCTACCTCTGCCGGCGCTGCCTCTGATGCTGCCGGTGCTGCGGATCCCTGCGGATCTTTCGGGTGTCTCGTGTTGTTCGGTGTCGTCTGATGCTCCGGGTTCTTAGCCTCTGGTGCTGCCGGTGCTGCGGATCCCTGTGGATCTTTCGGGTGGCTCGTATTGTTCGGTGTTGTTGCGTGATGCTTCGGGCTCGCTGCGTGGGCTGCTGCTGGGTCGTTGTCTGGACTTGGGGCTGCTGGCTTTTCAACCTGAGAGTCCTCCTGCGAGTCGAGCTTGATGCTGGAAACAGTCGTGGTTCGCTCCATGTGGCTAAGCTTGTTGGGTTTCTCCCCAGGCGTCCGATATGTGCCGGCATCGAAGAACTTGGCTAAGCTCTCAGGGTTCAAGTCTCTCACAACTTTATCCTGGGGCAGCTTTTCCGTGCTTTCGGGGCTGATGTCCTTCGGCTGAGGAGACGGGGTCTCGGTGGATGTGGTCGCACGCTTCTTGGGCGCGGATGGATCCTCAGGGGCGGCAGCTTTGCGTTTCTCCTGCGAAGGAGCTTCCACGTTGTCTTGCTTTTTAGTATTATCCTTGTTGTCCTTCTTTGCACGCTTCTTCTTGTCGGTCGGGGAGGTGATGGGCTCGGCAGCTGGTGCTGGGGCCGGCGGCTCCTTCTTGTCTTTCTTTGCACGCTTCTTCTCAGTCGGCTGAATCTTGTCGGTCGGGGATGTGATGGGCTCGGCAGCTGGTGCTGGGGCCGGCGGCTCCTTCTTGTCTTTCTTTGCACGCTTCTTCTCAGTCGGCTGGATCTTGTCGGTCGGGGATGTGATGGGCTCGGTAGCTGGGGCTGGGGCCGGCGGCTCCTTCTTGTCCTTCTTTGCATGGTTCTTCTCATGTGGCTGAATCTTGTCGGTCGGGGAGGTGATGGGCTCGGCGGCTGGGGCTGGGGCCGGCGAAGCTTCGGGCTTCTCCTTCTTGTCCTTCTTGCTGCATTTCTTCTCCGTGGGCTTCTCCTCTTTATTGGTTGACGTAGACTTATCCTTCTTTTGCTTCGTTTCCTTCTTTAGCAAAGCAATAGTTGCTTCACGAACATCGCCTTTGTTGTCAGCCAATGCTTCGATTGCGGCTTCCGTCGCGAAGCCTAGCTTCTCAAGCTTCTTTATCTTCTTTTCATCACTCTCTCGGGACGGCTTGGCGACACCCTTCGAGGAGCCAGGGCCCAGTCCCAAGCAACCTGTCCTTAGCTATAGGCATGTACATATGTTCGATCTAATATAATATGTATCATATAGGACAAGACACTCTTTCGGCGCTTTCGGCATGAGAACGTCCTGCCTTTCAGGGGGTATGGGGTAACGTGTATATAGTATAGGTTCTACTCAATGCACGCACACCTGTAGGCCCGTACCTTCTGATCGATCACCCAGCAAGGTCAGGCACTAGCCAGCAAAATGCTGCTACTTTGAGATTGAAAGTGATGCGACACGGGGCGACACGATCAGTAGACAGGACCATGTTATCTTCAGGGGGGGGGTGACACGGCCTGACACGCTACTGACACGCACGCTCTGGATTCGAATCGTTCACCCCTTTTTTGTTCCGGGAATCGATCGAGTGATGTCTGTGACACGCTAGTGATACCGCTGTCTACTTCCACCCAGCCGAACCACGGAGTAAGTCATCTAAGCAATCATCATCACTACCACCATCGCTCAAATCATCAACTATGTCCGTAAGACTCACCGGCAGGTCGCTCGACGAGAATGCCACAGATCGGGCGTCCGAAAACCTCAGCGATCCAGGGGGAGGGTCTGGGCTTAGGCGTCACTCGGGTAGTTATTAATGAAAGGCAGCAGGCAATTTAGCAATCGCCATCCCGAAGCTTGCAGTATATTCTTGGCTTGCTCGAAGATCTTTGCCACCAGCCTAGGATTCCCAGGCAGAATAGGGTTTAGGGTTTAATAGGGTAGGAAGAAGAACAATCAGGGGTAGAAGGAGTCGAAATATAGCACCTAAGGCCTAAAGCCCACTTGGCTAAAACAGCCCCGTCTCGGCACCCAAGCCCCGATCCTACCCTATACCCTAAATCGCATTATCCCTAGGCCCCAGCTAATATAACCGTATATGTACGGGGCCCCGCCATATATGGCAGATGGATCTATATAATAATATATTTATATAATAAACCCCAGCCGCACTAAACCAGCTAGGCTAGTATATTCATAGATCCCTGATTCGACAACGGTGGCCTCGAGAATCTTAAGGGTTACACGACTTAGATATTGTACGTAGTACATGCATGCGCGCCTATATCGTATGTCGGTAATAGTTATTAATATTATATCTGACAAACATTGTACATGTCATTATTACCAGGACCCGGCCGATGCAAGTAACCCTCGGGCATACACAATTTAGCTAATCCAGAATGACCATGATCAAACGCTCATGCATCGATGCGCACTTGTCCGTCGACATGCCTTGACCTAACTTCATGCCAATTGCAGGCCCCGCATGTGCTCATCGCCATCATACAGCAAGTTTGTTGGTACGGCAGCATCTCGTAGTGTATATGCTTGGCCCAGTCTGATTGCATGAACTTAAGTCAATCTTCGTCATGTTCATCAGATTACGCAAAGGCACATATGATATCGCAGTGTGATAGTAGCCCGCAGTCACTGCAATGGCCGGGCCAAGGTCTAGTGGCACTACAGATGTCGAACATCGTAGCGTGTTGCAATCTAACTTATGGCAATGAGTGCTTTTGTCGAGTATGTCTGAATCGATCGATGCGTAGCTGAGAGTCTGAGCTCGGGTTGGCCCAGGAAGGCTCTTCCAAGACTTGTAGGTTTTAGTTATAGAAGTATATGGTTTCGACTTGAAGTTGCGCCTTTCATTTCGGACGGGTTTGGTGGCTTTGGGACTTAGAGGGTGGAAGAGATGAGTAGACAAGGTGTAATACAGGCTTTGGATTCAAAATTGGGTTCGGAGTCGTTAATTTTTGGGCCAATTACCTTCAAGGATTTGGGGTTTTATGGCGGTTAGCTTAAGTAAGATCGCTGGACCATCTGGGGTTTAGAAGTGGGCGACGAATGCTGCTGCTTCATCGCATGATATGCAGTGTCCCTGCCTCTACAGCACTAATCTGGATCCCAATACTGATGGCCGAAATGCTCAACGACCAACCCACCCCTAAGCCATAATTCTTTCAAGAACTCCTTCGAAGCAACAGCCTATATATGATATGTATACTACAAATTTTCAGATCTCTACCGAACCTAGGATGACCCCTAAATCATATATTATATATGCACCCTCTAAACCCCTTCTATCTAAGGACTTTAGGAGGGACCCCTCATAGGGACCCTTAATCCCATTACCTTAAATATACCTTGTATACCCCTTATATAGCCAGGTAGTCTCCATATTAACCCCAATGACCTACAAGGGTCCCTATTAAGGGTCCCTCCAAAGCCCTTAGATGCTATATACCTTCCTTTTAAACCTCCCTCTAAACCCCCTCTAATTCCTTTATGCCCCCCCTCTAAACCCCCGCTTTAAACCCTTCGATCTAAACCCCTTTACACCCCCTCTAAACCCCCTCTAAACCCGATTTAAACTAAGCACTGAAAACCCTAGCTAGCTTGCATTAAGATTGAAATTGAGAGCCCTGAACCCAGGTCGATGCCAACGTGAGAGCACCGCAACAGCGAATGTGTGCCACCCTAAAAGCCCAAACCCCCAAATCCTAAACCCTAAACCCCCGTAAACCCCCATAGACCGGGTGCTCGGATTTAGTGGTGCGGTCTCAGTGTTTCACAGTAGGGTCGTGAAGCCTTGATCCTTAATTCCTAAGCCATACATAAAGCAGGCTAGACCTAACCCTAATCCACACCTAGTACAGGTTTTGTTTAGGGCGGGGTTTAGGGTTATAGGGTTTGGGGCTTCAAAATTGCGACCGAATGACAACCTTTGTGTGTCCTGAGAGCTCGTCATAAGTGCGGGTGACGATCTCCAAGCCATTCCGTTTTTGCTGTAGCAAATAGTCCCGCACGACATTCGATAGATCTTGGCCCAAGGATCCCAGATGAGGCAGAGTGCCCCAAAGCCTTAATTGCCATCATCAACTCGAGCTCAGACTATCTATAGCTGACCGAATACAAAACATAATTGCAGCCAGTGTACAATGTAGGTTTTTTACTTTTGCTTCCATACTTGGCCATGGGGAATTGCACACAGGTAGCCCTCATTTTAAGCAGAAGTCGCCGGACCGGCCCATATTCGAACATGACACTACCCAGCGGCTGCTCGACCACCACGAAATGCCCCAGCATGAAAGCAATCCGTAACCTCAGTGGCGAACGATATATACACCAATTATTGTTAATGACTAGCAATCATGATCGATCAAGACGAAGCTGCGCATACACCATCCTCCGTACGAAAACATTCGCACGTCTCACTTTCTTGAACCGCTGGGCGAAACCTGCGGGGCGGCCTTTGCGTCGACCAGTGGAATGTTGTGACCTGAAGCCAGGCTCGATCTATATTACTGGAATGTATAGTACGACAAACATGAATTTAGATAAGGACCTTACACCCAGACCCAGGAACTGCATGGAGGAGCGAACCACACCAGAGAATGTGGCCGTAGGTTTCGAATCTGAGCTCAGCAGTTTAAAGCACTGCATGTAAGTGTATAAGGCCATATAATATTTTTTTGCAAGAAGCCGCCGTCAAGACCGCGACGAGCCCGATTGTTCGCATAAAATCATGATTTCGACTGTACTGAGCCTTGTGTACAATTCCGCAGGTCATACATGTTAACTGCAATGCACAGCGACTATTCGACATAACCACGATGCATCAAAAGGCTTCCCAGCAAAGCCGAAGGATGTCAGAGCATCGGTCAGGGCCTTTGTGGTCTTGGGAACGAAAGTTTAAAAAACAGTATCAATAAATATCTGCGACAGAGTAGCATGTTTGCCAGCACACATTTCGACCTTAGCTGAAGATTGCAGCAGGAGAGTGATCAAGATATACCTTGGGAATTGGCTTGTGCTAGTTCGGCTTAGCTACGAAATCCATCCGGTCGGTAGGCAAAGGAACTTGAAGAGCCAGCTCCAGAATAGGACGTAGGTTCGTCATGCGTACACAAAGGACATGCCCAAATAGGCACATCCCCAGCAGCAGCAACATCATTTAGTGAAATCGCCCTACACTGACACATCCAAGCCAAGAGCTGGACTGCAAAGTAATCATCATCGATATCTTCGCAAGCTAGACTGCTGGCCCTGCGATACAATTCGGCGGCATTGCATGGCGATTCGCAGCAAGGTTTTTCACACCAGTCTGTAGCATATGCTCCTGATGCCCCGAAACTAGGACCTTCATCCAAAACTGGCACCTCTGTGCAGTGCACGACAAAACTGAATGCATATGCACATAATGCGCACTCACGAATCGCATGCCGATAGTGGCGGCTCGCTGTCGTCATCTGGCACATCGCTCTTGGGCAAATCGTTGTCCGATTCGTCAGCCTGCAGCGGGAAAAGATTAAGCCAGGGATTACCGGGGCTCGCTTGGGGTTTAAGGCTTTTGCGGTATTAATTGGTTATTTGCGACGGGGCACTTTGGGCTTCTTGCCCTTTGGTTTGGCATTCTTGGCCTTGGCGGCCTGGATCTTTACCTCAGGACGGAGCTATGGATCTCAAAATACTTAAGCCAAACCCCTACACCCCATAGCCTTTAAACCAAACCCTTAAACCCAGCCTACGTTGCATTGATCAGATAAAGCCTAGGCACAGCCCTCGCCTTGTACATCCCTGCTTTGGCGGCATTCTTAAGCTCCGTAGCAGCATCGCCTTGAACAAACCGTATCACCGAATCCTCGCGATACCCGCGCTTCTCAGCCTTGACCTTGCTCGGCTCCTGGAAACCATCCGGGCCCCAATAAAGATAGTAAACTTGGCCCTTGTTCTTGCCTTGGTTGAATCTATCCGATAAATCATATATGTGCTCAGCCGGGACCGCAATATATTTAAATGCATCTGTTGTTGCCCGATGGCCGAATCTTCGTCTCCTTCATCCATCCGGATTCGTACACGGCCAAGCCCTCCTTCCGCTCCTCATGGGTCGTCCTTAGATTCGCTTTTCCAAGTTCGATTGATCACATAAAAAATATATGCTACTAGCTGAGGCAATGATTTAAATTGCTCTGCTGAGTTTCGTCTTGTTCTCCTTAGGCTTATTCTTGTCTCTCTGGTTCTTGAGCATCGCAAGTTGCTGCTGCGGGGTCAGAACCGGCTTTGAGGCAGCTTCCAAAGCTGTCTTCTGGACACGATTCATACTAAGAGCCGCAACTCCATCGATCGTGAACTTCGACGGCTCCGCATCATCAGCCTGCGTATAAGCAGGAGTGTACATGATTTCACTTGAAATGGGCTGTCAACACTATCTTGCTTCTATCTCAAGCGCCTTCAGGGTCGAGGCATCGATGTGCAAACTTCGTTTCAATGACGGTTTCGCTTTCTCACGATCAGAATCATCCGAGCTGCTCAGCTCCACTCCCCTTGCAGCATCAACCAGCTTCTGCAGGCTGCCCGAAGACTCGGAATCGCTGTCGCTCAAGGGCTCACCATCTACTGAGCCAGTCTCCTCAGGTTCGCAGGGAACCTCGGCCGGCACCATCTGTGCAGGTTGGACACTTGTTGCTGCAACACTCTTGGCTGCAATCTGTGTCCGCACGGTAGCCTCAGTGGATCGTGAGGCACTGAAATTTTGTGATATGTCAATTCAACTTGCACTCGCAACTGCATGCTAGCAAGAAACACCGTGCTTGTCTAGCCAGGAATTCCATTTCAATATGTCTTCCACCGGCTCTGACCCAAAACTGAACTTCCCGTCGGGCTCGCGATACTCGCAGTAGAACGGGAACAGCTCATGCGACTCGATGGCTTGCAACAGGTTGGCGACTGCTGAAGGCTTCATGGCCCGAAAGTTGGCCCTAAAGACGTCATCCCCATCGCTACTGCCATCATCTTCACCACTATTGTCGTCATCATTTGCATCATCATTGCTCATATCGGCGTCATCGGGCTCCGGATCATCCTCGGAGGGGGACTTTAGGTCCTCACTTCCACTGCCAACCATTTCATCCGAGTCCAACTCATGAAGCGGCTGAGTTGGCATAACCTGCATCCAACTAACTCCATCGAGCACAAGTCGTGCAACAGCATTATGATCCCCGTGCCAAGCCTCGATATCCATAGGCACGGTTTCGGCGTTGTCCATATCCGTGCATCCGTCCTAAGCTGCGATTTGCATATGACTTAAAATTTACCGACTGCACGTTATGTGGGTAAGATTTATCGGAGCGGCGGTCTCCTCCTGCTTGGATTGCTTCCACCGACTCTGCCGGGCATTTGCACCGGTTCTCTTGAACACATCACGAACCTTCTCGGCCTCAAAATTCCAAAGGGCTGAATCAGAATTCTTATGAGCTCAGCATTTAGGGATCATTAATTTGCGCAAACGTGCACCTCGGCTTGAACCCATCGGGCCAGGTTCACACGCTTGTCACCTCATCAATGAAAAATGATCAAATATATCTGGTCGGAATACTATCAGACTTGTAGTTCGTGCGAATCCAAGCATCAAAGATGATAGCGCGATGCTAAAGCTGTCACAACCATCTTGATGTGTTTCTCATGCGGCACCCGCCCAATCTTAGAAGCCTCATAGGCTTCTCGAAGCCACTGATTCGGCTTCCTCTGCAGCCGACCGCCACAGCAAAGGGAGCCTGCTTGCTCGATCGACGGCCTTACTCAAATTCTTTGCAAGTTTTCCATTGATTTGCCTATATCTCGAAAGATCCCTACTTGCGCAATCAAGGAACACATGGACTCGGGCATCCAGTTCAATAAAAAGCTTCTTCACGAAATCCGGGCTATCTTCCAGCTCATCTGGAAGCTTATCATTCGTCGACGGCAGCGACCACTCAGACGACATGGTGCGAAGGGACGACATATCTTACAAAGATACTGATCTGAATTCATGCTTGGAATCCATGGGGCACTCCTGGTTCGAACTTCGGGCTGCGCACGGCGAGAATGTCGCTGCAAGGGCGATCAGAATATCAACTCAATCTTTTGAAAGCTCGCTTTATCCCCAACCCATCACTTATAAAGAAACGCTTTCATAATACATTACTTTTCTTTGTGCGTACACGATAACATCACTTCGACCCTCCTGGGTTGTACCATAATTATATATATATATACATACATATTACATGTCATATATTCTAAGCCGTATCTCAAATATTCTTCCCTACTTACAACATACAATGTACTAAAGGCGAAAATAACAAACTACGTAAATATGTATGTGTATATATATATATATACATATATGTCTGCCCTTTATTCATCATTACTATTAGTATTATTATTCTGCTATCATATTATACTATGTTGTATTGTGTTGTATTATGTAATATTTGTATTATGTTATATTCTGTCATATCATAATCTTTTATATTCTATAGAAATTTGATGAAATCATATTATATTGTAAAAAAACTGCTGCTCAAGCTTCTGCATGAGGTTGCGTTGGCTTCAGGTCGAAACTTCGAGTGTTCAGGGTTGCGGGCGGAGGGTTGAGGCTTTGCGGTTTGGGAAACTTGGGTATGGGGTTTGGTTTAGGGTTCAGGGGTTTAGGGCTTAGGGTTTCGGGGTTTAGGGATTTCGGGGTTTAGGGCTTAGGGTTTAAGGGTTTAGGGGTTTAGGGGTTTAGGGTTTAGGTGAAACTCAGGGTTTTGAGAGTTTTGGGTTAGGGATTAAGGTATGGGGTCGAGGAATTTGAGGGGTTCCCCCTTGCTAGTCTCTATATGTCCCTATGCTATCCTACGAATGATGGACCCTGCACCCCCACCGAAACATCCAGAGACCCGCAGAAACTCCCAGAAGACGATGATAAGCACTGCACCCCCCCTAAACCCTAAACCCGAAACGCTAAACCCTAAACCCTAAACCCTAAACCCTAAGCCGTAAACCCCAAACCCTAAACCCTTAACCCTAAACCCTAACGCCCCCCCCCCCCCACTGAATCCTGGGTCCTCGAAACAAGATCTAGGCTTCAGGGGCGGTCTGAGCTTAGAGGTTCAGAGTTTCGGAGTTGCTGTTCGGGCTAGGTGCTTTAGGCTTTAGGGGGGGTTGGGGTTGGGGTGGGTTAGGTATGCTATGTGCCTGAAGCCCCACAGCCACAAAGACCTCCTGGGCGTCTGGATGCCAAACAAATTGAGCCCCAGCCCCCCCCCCCCTCCTGCCAAGCCACAAAACCAGTCTTCGGATCTCCCTCCGCTCTGCCGTAAAGCCCAAACCCGAATCCCTAAACCCCTAACCCCTAAACCCTAAACCCTAAACCCTAAACCCTGACCCTAAACCGAACCCTCAACAAAGCCTCAGCACTAAACCCCGGGCGGCAACTGACCTCAAGTCGGAAAACTCTGTGCCCCCATCTCCTGAAAGCGAACTCTTCTATACTGAACTTAAACCCCTAGCAAAAAGTATAATTTCAGCTACTTCTTAGGGTTTATAGCAGCCAAAGACTAAAAATTATTTCTAAGTGCCCCTAAGTATTGGGAGTACGAACAGTTACGAACACTACTCATGTTCGGCTTAAGCTTTAGGGCTCACAGGGTTGAGGGATTCAGTTCAGGGTGCAAGAGTTTAGGGTTTTAGGTTCAGTTGTCAAGTGTTTTTTTGGTGGTTTGCTGTACCCCCCATCTGGACAAGAGGCCCCGCCGCGCTTCTTCGAGCTCCTGCAGAAGAGTTGGGGATTCCGATGGGTTTAGGGTAGGATTTAGATTAGGGTTAGGGTTTAGGATTTAGATTGGGGTTTAGGGTTGGGGATTTCCGATTCGGCTGCAGGACCCCGAGAGCCCAACTACAGGAATCCGAAAGAACGTGCCTTAAACAAGTTTTAGGGTTTAGGGTTTTAGGGTTTAGGGTTTAGGGTTTAGGGGATCACGCATGGAATGATATTGATGACCAGATCATCGACGATAACCGTAATGCTTGTTAGCAGATGTACAATCTGTTTCCTTCGTAACCATTACTTCAGTAGCTTCACGAACACAACAGAAACAAGCTTGGTTGTTGTTTCTGCTCCTGCTACTACAAAGTTCTCGGCATCTCGACTGCAATGGTGGACACCGTCTTTGTCACGACTGGCCTAACAAGTGTTGCTCTTCAGCTTTTCAACGCCACTAAAGTTCCTACTGAATACTCATGCGCCAAACCAGTACCGCCACCATTCCTACTGACCGTTGCTGCGACTGCTACGAGTGCGTTCACGGCTGCTCTTGCTTTTGCTGTGCCTTTCGTGCCTCGGATCTGTTTCACCTCTTTGCATACCTGCCTTTTTGAAAAAATGCCCTGAAACCCTTGATCGCCTACACCTCAAACCCTTAACATCCTGAAACCCTAAACCCCTAAACCTGAAATCCTTAACACCCCTTTAACCATAAACCCTAAACGCTCATTCATGAACCGTTACACCACCAGAGCCCTAGCTCGAAACTCTCAGTTCTCTGACACTGTAGCGTTCAGGCTTGAGGATTTGGGGGTTTCCGAAAATAGGGGACCCTAATATAGTACCCTAAATAATAGGATCCTTATTATAAGGTCCCCCAAAATAAGGTACCCTAATTTTTGGAAACTCCCATTTAGAGCGTAGGGCATATCAGTGCAGCGTGCCCGTTAACGAATTGCCAGGAGCCAGGAAAAGGCTCAACCCAACAACCTTGTAGCCCTTCGCCCCAAAACGCAACACCCCAAGCCGAAATCCTAATATTGGAGCCTTGATGATTAAAATCGGATTCTTGGGGGTTCCATATTGGCAAGGCCCGTAAAACCCTAATATAGGGGCCTAAATAATAACCAATACTATTCTGGGAGTTCCTTATTATGATTATAGTAGAATATCCTCAAAACCCTATTCTAATTATTAAGTTAAGGCCCCTACATCAAATTGAAGCATCTTTCCGGCCAGGGTACCGACTGCAGCGCCGCGATTTGCCGATCCCGAAGCTGGTCCGCGAAATCGGATCCCGGCGCCCCCTCCGTTGGAAGGTCGTACGTTCAGTTTAGGGTTTAGGGTTTAGGGTTTAGGGTTTAGGGTTTGGGGTTTAGGGTTTAGGGTGTTCAGGGCTTTAAGGTTTAGGGTTTAGGGTTCAGGGGTCTTGGGTTGAGGCCACAGGCGTTCGAGTTTCGGGTCTGGCTTTAGGGTTTAGGGGTTTGCGGTTTCGGGGTTTAGGAAGTTTGGGACATAGGCTCTAGGGCCTGTTCAGGAATTGGGGAGTGAGGGCTTTGGTGTCGCAGACGGGCGCTTTAGCGCGGGTTTAGGTTTTAGGGCTTCAGGGTGTGGGGTTTAGGGTTTAGGGGTTAGGGGTTTAGGGGTTAGGGGTTTAGGGTTTAAGGTTTAGGGTTTGGGGGTAGCGACAGAGGGCAGCTGGCTCCGAAAAACTAGAGGAATGGTAAAACCCACTGGTCTGTGTCGTGCTTCTTCACCATCGTCTTTGTCTCGTCCATGCTGGCCTGCAAGGTTGCCAGCTTCTCGTGCGAGGCCTTGTTGTCTGCTTGCTTACAGCTTTCTCTGCCGTGCTTAAGTAGACCATCTGCCAGAGCTAAATGAAGCCCGAACTGGCGTGTCATATCCAGGCCTGTAGTCTGGCATGTCTTCTGGTCTCTTGGACTTGCATCTTGGTGACACTCCTAAGGTCCAGGTCAAAAGCCAGGGAGGCGATTCCGAAGCAGGACCACGGCCTCCAGAGTTTTGCAGAGTGACTGGCTCAGCAAGCGGCTCCTCAAGTGAGGTCGTCAAACCTCCCAGGTGCTTCGTGTCGACTCTGATGCCTCCTCCGCCTGTGCAGACCTGGCAGTCCGATCCTCTAGAGCCGGTACCTCCGCAGGCGTCACAGCCTCCTTCTCAATAGCCTGCACCACGGCGTCGACCATCTGGGTCGCTGCTACCTTTCATGGCGCGCAGCAATGATTGCCTGCGACTAGCATCTAAGGGTTCAGTGACCGGGGTTGACGCATGCTGCTGGCGATGTGCCTAAACCAGAGACCCTAAACCCTAAACCCGTAACCCCCTGAACCCTAAACCCTAAACCCTAAACCCGTAAACCCCTGAATCCTAAACCCCAAACCCCTGAACTAGGGTTTGGGTTCTCCTTCTGGGAGGAGCTAGGGTTTGGAATTGAAGGTCGTGGCCTCTGCGGCTTGGAACTAGCGGCTTAGGGCTTGGACTTCATGGCTGGACATCTCTGGGATTTAGGTTCCAAGTTGGGTTTGAGGCGTAGGGTCTAGGCTTTATGGCTCAAGATTCAAGAATTCAAAGGGTTTAGGGTTTGGGGTTAGGGTTTTGGGTTTAGGATGTAGGGTTTAGGGTTTAGGGATCCCAGTCACTGCCTGCATCCAGCTCGTGCGCCATGTGGAGCGACCTCTCACCAGGCTGCTTGTTTTAGGCTTGCTGTAGACATGTCTTGTTGCTTTGTCGGCTTTATACAACACGTTCCGACCGGGCTGCAATTAAGTTTACGCTAAACCCTAAAACCCTAAACTACCTAGACGCCACACACCTAGAAAGCCCCGAGCAGCGCCGCCACATCAACCCCTAAACCCTAAACGCTAAACTGCTGAACCCTAAACCCTAAACCCTAAACCCTAAACCCCAAAACCCTAAAACCCAAAACCCTACAACCCTAAACCCTAAAAACCTAAAACCCTAAACCCTGCAACCCTAAACCCTACAACCCTAAAGCCCTAAACCCAGCAAACCCAGGAAGCAGACCTCAAAAGCCCTCGAAGCTCCTTTTCGTTTAGCGTTTAGGGCTGGGGCTTTTGTTCGGGGCTTTCGGGTTTAGGGCTTAGGGCTCCGGGATTAAGGTTTAGGGAAGGTTCAGGGTTCAGGGCTGTTGGGGTTTAGGGTTTAGGGGTTAGGGT